CTCCCCACCATCACAGACATCTACACCTCCAGATGCAGGAAGAGGGCCACCTGCATCATGAAGGACCCCACCCACCCAGCACACACACTTTTTGCCCCACTCCCCTCAGGAAGGAGGTTAAGGAGCATTAAGTGTAGAACCACTAGACTGAGGAACAGCTTCTACCCTGAGGCTGTTAGACTCATGAATCTCTAACTAGAATAATCACTGTGAAAAACCATATCATGTTGCTGCTGATCTGTTTCATGTTGCTGCTGATCTGTTTCATGTTGCTGCTGATCTGTTTCAATGTTGATGTGTTCATGCGTGCACATCTGCTCACAGACTCATGTTCATGTTTGTGCTGATGTTCAATGTTTTATGTTATGAGTGCTTAGTGTATATTTAGTTGATGTTTTTCTTAGTTCATATCTTAGATGTTATTACTGTTTTTCTTAGACATTTTATTGTTGGATGTAACTGGGACCCCGTGTACATAATTTCGCTCCACCACATGTACCACATGAGGTGCGAATGACAATAAAGAAACGCTGACTCTGACTCTGACTCTGACAATATTTTAAAACAAAAAGGCAACTCACTGTTGAGTAGATGATTCAAATTTCGCTGATTGTAGATCTCGCCAACGTTGTTTAGCAGAACCATCACTCGGTCCAGATTCGGACAGCGGTCTGCCAGTTAGTGACCTCAGTCTTAAACGGACAGGCTGGGGCAAGAGGAGCATTAATCTGAGCAGCAGCCTAGAAGTTCAAGATAATTATGTAAGAGACGCACAGTCCAGGTGGGAAAGTCTTTTGAGAAAGCCACAGTTGAAAGGCAACCATAAGAAGTTCTGTTTGCAGTTTGCCACGGGCCATGTAAGGGATGCAGTAAACACGCAGCTGCTTTGTTCAGATGAGACCAAAATCAAACACTTTGGTCCAAATACAAAAGTCTGAGAGGTGAAAAAATGATTGTCCATCACCCTGAACAGTCCATCCTCATGGTGAAACATGGTGGTGGCTGCATCGTGATGTGGGAATGCTTAATTTCATAGAGAACAGGGAAGCTGGTGAGAGTCGATGGGAAAATTGATGAAGCTAAATACAGGTCGATCCTGGAGGAAAACTGTCAGGGCTGCAAAAGACTTGAGACCGGGCCGGGGCATGAGTTCACCATCCAGCAGGACAAAGACCTGAAACATCCAGCCAGAGCTTCAATAGTTAGATCAAAGCATATTTGTGTTATGTTGACCCAGTCCAAACCTAAATTCAACCAAGAAAATGTTGCAAGATTCAAACATTACTGTTCTCAGATGATATCCATCCAATCTGGCTGAGATTGAGCTATTTTGCAAAGAAGATTGAGCAGTTCAGTCTCTAGATGTGCAAAGACACACCCTCAATGGCTTACAGGTGAAATTACAACAAAAGGTGGTTCGGTGTGTCCTTTTCCCTCCACTTCACAATCATGCCCTTCTTTGTGTTTGTCTTTCACATAAAATTAGTAGCGATTATAAGGAAACACAAGAAGGAATATTATAGTGATTTATTAAATAAAAGTAATGGTGATATGAAAGTTACATGGCGAGTAATAAATAGTGTTCTGAAAAGTCATAAAGCAAAAACGGGTATTTCACAATATTTTTTGAAGGATGACAATGAAATCCATGATGAAAATGAAATTGTAAATGGATTTAATCATTATTTTGTGAACGTTGGATCAAGCCTTGCAGCTAAAATACCAAAAGTAGACAATAATGTGAACCATTCAGTTATAGGTTGGGACAACAGTATTTTTCTTAATGGAACTGACAAAGAAGAAATAATGAATGTAGTAAAAAAGCTGACAGATAAGAGATCAAAAGACTGGGTGGACATGGATATGATGTTTGTAAAGGACATAATGAGTTATGTTATCGAGCCGTTTACATATATATGTAATTTATCATTTTCAAAAGGAATATTTCCAGACAATATGAAAGTAGCTAAGGTAGTTCCTCTCTTTAAAAATGGTGATAAATGTATGTTCAATAATTATAGACCAATATCCTTATTACCACAGTTCTCAAAAATTCTAGAAAAACTATTTGTGACCAGATTAGATACATTTATTACTAAACAAAACATTCTAAGTAGCAGTCAGTATGGGTTTAGAGCAAAAACTCTACATCAATGGCTCTCATGGAAATAATAGAACAAATAACTACTGCTGTCGATCAAAAACAGTATTGTGTTAGTATTTTTTGTTGATTTAAAAAAAGCATTCGATACTATTGACCACACTATTCTCCTTGAAAAATTAAATAAATATGGTATAAGAGGACCAGCATTACACTGGGTATCTAGCTATTTGAAAGATAGGAAACAGTTTGTACAAATAAATGGTGTAAGATCTGACCTCTGCAATATCACGTGTGGAGTTCCTCAAGGCTCTGTACTTGGACCAAAGTTATTTATTTTATATGTGAATGACTTAGTGAATGTATCAGGACTCCTCAAATGTGTCCTTTCTGCAGATGACACCACATTTTTCTGTTTGGGTAAAGATGTAAAACAGATGTTGGAATTGATGAAGACAGAATTTGATAAAATACAAACTTGGTTTAAACTTAATAAATTATCATTAAATTTAGATAAAACTAATTACATGATATTTAGTAACAAAAAGAGAACTGTTGATGATCCATTTAAAATTGAGGGTGTTGAGATTTGTAAAGTTAATGAGATGAAATTTTTGGGTGTAATCATTGATGAACAGCTAACATGGAAGAATCACATAAATTCTGTAAGAACAAAAATATCTAAATCTATTGCAGTACTATACAAAGTCAGGGAATTATTAAATGATAAAGCTCTGTACATGTTGTATAACACAATCATTGTTCCACATTTAATCTATTGCATTGATGTTTGGGGGAAAGCGTGTAAAACATTTACAAAGTCTATTTTTATTTTACAGAAAAGAGCTGTAAGAATTATCACCAGAAAGCATTACTGTCACCCGTCAAGCACATTATTTTATGAACTGAAGTTATTGAAGTTCCATGATTTGGTAGATTATAGTATTTTATCAGTTATGTATAGGACTCAAAATAACACATTACCATTAAATATCCAAAGAAATTTTGTTAGAAGACAAAGTTGTTATGATCTTAAGGGGATAGAGATATTTGTCAAACCAAAATTCAGAACTAGTCTGAAGGGAAGGTCTACCTCAATCCAAGGAGTTGGATTGTGGAATGGTCTAGAGAGTGATGTGAAAAATGTCAAGTCAATGTGTACATTTAAGAAAAAGATCAAAGCTGAATTGTTAAAAAATATATATAAAGTAGCTTAGTGTGTTTTTTTGTATTAGAATTAGAAAAATTAGAAAGAGTTGTTCATTTTGTTCTGTTA